GGTCAATTCTGATGTTATTTCTTCCCTTGCCAAGTTGTAGCAAACACTCAGCCCCAAGGTGTTGCAGGCAGGAGAAAACAAAGGCTGAATTAACCTCTGATGGGAACAGGAAAAGTCATTTCAGGCTCCTTTGAGGATACTACTGAAATCCCTCTAGGAAACAACAGAGATCAAAGCAGAGCAGAGAGCATCTGCCCAGGAGCTGCAGCTCCCTGCTCCAGAGGAGGATGAAGGAGGGCACTGGTCCTGGGGGAGGGCAAGGACAGGGGCTGGCACCTGGGGGGTCACAGCACTCATCCTGAAACACAACCAAACCCTGGATCCAAAGGGATTTTATGGAAATCAAGCCATCTAAAGCATCTTGTGACACTTCTCTACGTGAAGCAAAACAAGCAGCATGAAGCACCACCATTTCATAATGACTGCCCCGAAATGCAGAACAACCAATTAAAAGGAAATAAGATAAAAACGCTGAAAAGCAAATAGGAACTGAAAATAAATTGCTCCGAGGTCAGGAAAAGGTTATTTACCTGTGACAGAACTATACACACAAACCTCAGACAAGCCAGCGTTGCTTAGGGCAGTTGATAGCTAAACCATTCCCTGCAGAAATATTGGGTCGAAGTACAGAGAAAACGGAATTTCTCCACACACCATAAAGAAAAATAATGTTAGGATGATAAAGTACTTTCTCCTCACTCAAAAATATATTGCTAGATATAAAACTCTAGTAATTGAACCTCATATACAAAGTTTTTAGATTCAGGCCTCTGTAGAAATGTGCTCTAGCAGGACCATATTTGTTTTCCCTGGCTGCTGCTCGCCCTGGAGAGCCCCCAGCCATTGTGCTCCTGCAGGAGAAGGATTTCCGCTAGTAAACCTGCCAGGGAAACACAACCAGGCATCCCAGGAGCTGTACTTCATTAGGAGAATGGCAAACTCAAGTGCCAGGAGCTGCTCAATAACAAAGCAGACGTGAGCAGCCCAAGGTCTATTAGGTAAAGCTACATTCATTTTAAGACTCTCCATGGGCTGATCAGGGGAAAGGAGACTTGGGGACTGTTTGTTTAAAGGAAGAAGAGGAAGTCCAAATGATTTCTAAAGCTACCATTCCAAGGATGGAGAGAGCACGTTGGAATGATTCACACATCCCGAGCCATTTCCCAGACCAGCCAAGGACATGTGTATCCCTGCAGAGCCCTCGTGGGCAGCTCCTGGCTGATGCCTTGGCTTACATCTGCTCTTTGAACTTCCATTTGCAGGGGATATTTCTGGGTGTTTGCACCTGTAACCCAGCTCTGTGGATTAGGTTTTTGCACGTTGCCCCTCTGCTACATCCACAGAAGCCACAGCCCCCCTGTGCCAACCCTGCTTCCATGTGCCACATTTCACAGCCCTCCTGCTCGTGTCACAGAGAGCCTCAGCACAGACCAGTTCCCCCTCACGTTGCTGCACAAACACTAAACACACATTTCCGCTGCCAGATAAACCAAACTGGGTCACTTTGTTTCTCTACAGTAACTCCTGATTCCATCTGACTGTCCCACCACAGCCCAACACCCACACAGTGCTCTGTCTCCAGCAAATAATCTAAACAGGCTTTCCCAAGAAATGCCACGTTCAGCAGTAATTTCTTCTGCTGTAATTTATTTAGGTAGAAAAAAGACATTTGAGAACTATCAGCTCATTCTTACCTGTTGGGTTGGGTCCTTCCTCATGCCCCTGTGGCACAGCCCTGTGGGTGCTCCCACCCACATCCTGCAGGCAGCACAGCATTGGGATCCTTGTGCAGGTAAGGAAACAGTACCACGGCTCCTGTTTAGCCCCCCTGGGTCTCACACCCTCTCTGGTGGAGCTCCTGGGGCAGGTGGTGTCCATCCCCTCCTCTGGCTCATCAGCACTGCCAGCTGCCCCAGCCCCTCAGCCCTGCCCAGCACTGCATCACCCAGCTGGGCAGGTCAGCAGCTCCCTCGGGGGGTTTGGAAAGCTGGGCTGTGCCGGGTTCAGTCCTCACCTTTCCCATCAGAAAGAAGGAATCAAGCCAACAACAGGTGGGCTGTGTCTGTTCCTGAACAGCACTCACCAAACAGAGCAGCTCTCTGGGAAGGAGACAGAATTGCTAAGACTGAGCCTTGGAGCAGCTGAGAGCACACAGTTTATTTCAGAAGTCAGCAGGCAAGCTGTTGGATTGCTTTATTTATCAAATTACTCAATTATTTCAGCTGGAAGGTTATTCATTAGACCTTTCATCCTGGGATTTTTATGTGACTATGTCAGGAAGTGAGGCAAGAGCACAGGAATGGACAAAGCAGGAGTTAAATGTTCCACTTTTATGCAGGTCAACATCATGGTAAGACATGGAAAGCTGAGAGGGAGATGAGTCTAACAGGCTCCTTGCCCTGCAATCAGTCACCTGCAATGCCCTGCCCTCAGGTGTTCCTGTGCTCAGCTCAGACCCTGACGCTGCTGATCCAAAAGCTGCGTTGAACAGACATGTAAAAGTACATTTGTTGAAGTGTGTGGTGCTGCCCACCTCAGGTGCTGCCCACAGACCCTGGGGGGCTGCTTGAGTGACAACACTTCACCAGCCAAAGGGAGTGTTGGGCTGGCACAGAGACTTCCCAGAGTGTAAAGTTCCTCCTGGGCTCCAGGAAGATTATTGAGCTTAAATATTTTTAGGAAGTAGAACCCAAATTGAAACCAAGCAGAAGTTAGCTAAATTAATGTCTCCATTGCTGCCAACATCAGCAGTTACACTTTGAATTGCCATGTGCCAGTGACATGGTCGGACACACCAGTGGGACTCAGAGGGTGTCAGCTCACCCCAGATGTCCAGGGCTGAACAGGCAGCCAGTCCTGGCACAGCACAGTGCTGAACCCACGGCCCTGTGGGCACTCCTGCTCTGCTGGAGAGATCTTAGACATCATTTTTAAAACAATGCAGAGCGGGAGCTGCTGTGGCACAGAGCACTGTGGAGAGCTGGGGGGCAAGGAGCCTGTCCCCAGAGCAGCACCACCGAGGCAGCAGCAGGGCAAGAGGGGATGGGAACAAAGGCAAATCCTGGAAATACCCTCTAAATGTCAGGAAAAACCCTGCAGGACGTTTTACACATTCCGAGCTGCAGACAAGCTGAGGTTTTCCTGGGTTTGGAATGAATAAAAAAGCAGATCCATGTGTTTTCCAGTGGGTGTGGCGCTCGTTGCGATTTCCCTCCAAAGGCAGGTTCCCGCAGCTCCATCCCCTCCAACCAGGCATCTGCTGGAGAACATATCTCCCTCTCACACTGACTTGTCAGGAGCCCAAAGCAATGGCTGAAAGCAGCCCAGTGTCCTGGCCCTGTGTGTCCCGGGAAAGTGGCTGCTGGGCCGGGCAGAGCCGAGGGCAGAGCCGAGGGCAGGGCTGAGGGCAGAGCTGAGGGGAGAGCTGAGGGCAGAGCTGAGGGCAGCGTGGCCCCTCGCCCTCCCCACATTTCGTCCCAGGAACAGTTATTTTTAGATCACTTACTGCCACTAAAACATACTTGGACTATTTTCAGGCTGACTCACAGCTGAATTCCTGTTCTGGAGGCATTTCCAGTCCCCACCCAAAATAAGGGAAGACAAAACAAAATGAAACCAAAAAAATCCTGGCTGGCCCCGAACCAAAGCCCAGAGCACATGTCCAGCTGTGCCGGTGTCCAGAGTGCAAGCATGGCTCTGCCCAGGGGCAGACCTGCACCCACAGCCCATCACCCACACCTGCACCCAGCTCAGACCTGCTTAGCTTAGCTCAGGTGAAACAGATTGTGTTTTGGGGCTTTCTTAATTCAAATTCTTTCGTGTACTACTCAGGAATAGAAGAATTAAGCAGACAGGAGCATGCATGTGGAACTCAACATAGAGTTTTTTATTCTATTTGATCACATTTTTAATTGCAAGACCAGCAAGGCCACAGTAAACTGTGCAATGACCAGAAATTTCACCCATAAGTTTGGGGAAATGGAGGTCATGGAGACTTTAGAGACTGCCACTAAACCAAAGGTACAAAGCAGGGCTGCCTCAGAGGGGGAGAGAGATCAGAGGCCAGCAGGTCTCTCTGGAGCTCCCCAGCTAAAGAGAAGGTGCTGTGATGTGACTCATGCAGGTGCTGGGGCAATAACAGCATCTCAGTCAGGGAACCAGGTGATGGAGTGCTGGGAGCTCTGCTCAGCAGTGCTGGGCTCCCAGGGGCACAGGCACCAGGCCTGACTTTGCACCTTTCTGCTGATGGATCTTTGGTATATGTTGACAGAAGGAGCATGTATTTGGAGATGATTATCTGTGGGTACCCAGCCAACAGGGAACAGCTGTGTGGGTACATGCCACGCTGGTGTGTACACAGGCAGGTATCCTTAGTGACTCAGCCACTTGGAGCAGATGACTCTGCTCACCTCTGTGGACACAGCAAAACAACTAATTGAGCATATTAATGCACCAGAACTGTCACTACACATTGTTTATGAAGAGAAATCACCTCCTGGCCATCGATACCCAGGCATAGGATGCCACGTGCTGTACAGGCACATCTCTGGAGAGGGCAGTGGCAGCCAGTGTGCCCGTGGCTCCAGCCCCTGCCTCAGGGCTTGGGCTAGACTCGTTGGGCAGGACAGCAGAGCAGGACCCAGGCAAGGCCAGGGCAGTAATACCTGGATGTTGTTGGGCTGGCAGTGCCTCCTCTTCCAGCAAACCCAGCCTTGAGCAGGATGTCTAAACTGGCAAAGTAACTTGAGCTTCTGCATGGCTGTTTCTGTGCTAAAAGAACCAAAAGCAAAACTGTTTCTTCTGGACTGCTGCCAAGAGCCCAGAGTGACCCCCCTGGCGGGCACAGCACTGCTGCTGGGAGCCAGCCCCTGCTCTGGTGATGCTGTGACAGGACCATGCTGAGGCACAGGACGTGTGACACGGACCAAGGCAGAGGGTGAGGCTTGGGGGCACTCCAGAGATCAGCAAATAAAGTGAAACAACACAAAAGAGACTTTTTCTATTTTTTTAAGCAGGATGCAGGGTTTATTATCTGGGGCTGCTATCTCTGGCACAGTGAAGCAGTTGAAGATGATCGACACAGCAGAGAGAGCTGAACCCAGGGTGACCTGGATGGGACCCAGTGGGTGTCCTGTTCCCCGAGCTGTGGAGCAGCGAGTCCCTAGGCAGGGCTGGGGGCTCCTCATCTCCTGCAGGGATGCAGGCAGGGAAGGGGGCTGGCTACACCCTGTCCCCACTCCCTCCAGGCAGCTCCTTCTCCAGCCCAAACTCCTACAGGGTCATTATTCCACTGATCTCTTCCCCCTTTCCATCTGAACGTGGGACAGTCCATTGGAGAATAAGCTGTGCTGCCAATCGATCCCACAGGGATGTCAGGCAGGGACTGGCTCCTTGTTAGCTCCTGGTTCATTAGCAGAACTGCTAATGAAGTCTGAACTCCAAGGTCCAAATTCTGCCTCAGGCCATACATTCTGCTGGCACTTATAGACAACTACATTAAAGGTAGGTAGCTCCATACTCTGCTAAGTGACTGTGAGAATGGCCCTGTGAGCTTGCCTGGCTGTCCTGCTGAGTACAAAGACACATTCGTTTTAGCCCACCCCCGCTCCAGCCCAGCATCACATCATGGCTCACAAAGCAGTTATTTGAGAGCAGTGTGTTTTTCCCTCCAAGAGCTGACTTGATGGTCTTTTGTTTACAATATTGATGTGCTGGGGGGTACTGTGCTCCGAGAGCAGGGTCCTCCTGTACTGCTGGGAGTGAGCACCTCTCCCGGTCTGCTGGAGGCAGCTCAGCAGCAGGTCTCCTGTACAATAAGGTAACAGGTGCATTTCCAGGAACACAATCAGCTCACACTTATTCTACAGCATAAATAAGGTTATCTAAAAAAAATGGCACATGACTGATTGTTCTCCCTAGGGAGTTCCCTCCCTGCCCTCTCCCACTACCAGGGGCTCTCCTTCCTTACTCACTACCTGGCGATCGTCAGCCTGCGCAAGAGCTGCCCTGCTTTGGCCATCAGCATCTCTCTGAAGTGGTCACCCATGAGGAAATAGAAAACAGGATTAATGGCACTGTTCAGAAAGGCAACGGGTCTCGTGATGACGTAAATGGTGCTGATGATGCCCTGGGTGCACTCGGGGACGCTCAGGGCCGGGATTCGGGAAGCGAGGCGGACGTTGCGCATGACGTGGTAGGGAGTGAAGAGCAGGGAGAAGATCACCACGGTGAGGACCACGAGGGTGAGAGGCTTCTCGAGGGTCAGGGGAGAGCTGAGTTGCTCACTCCTGTTTTTAAGAAAACGAACCATCTTCACGTAGAAGCAGCACATGATCAGGAGAGGGATGAGGAACCCAAAGACAGTCAGGAACATGCTATAGATGAGGTTTTCTGCGGGGTCTCCAGAGCTCGCATAATCAAGACACTTGTAATTATTGGCAGGTGTCAGAGGCTCCAGGAAATGCACCAGTGGCAGCAGCTCCAGGATCACCCCGACCCAGATGGCAACGGACACCAGGACAGCCGTTCTCCTCTGCTGAAGGACGTGGTCCCTGAAGGGGTGTTTTATGAGCATGTACCGGTCAACGCTGACAGCAGTGAGGAAGAGGATGCTGCTGTACAGGTTGGCATGCAGCAGGAATCTGTTGCTGTGGCACAGGATGTCCTGCTTTGCCCACTGATCGTGGGAGTAGCTGTTCACCAATACTGGCAGAGTACAGAGAAATAACAAATCTGATAGGGATAAATTGAACAGGTAGATGTTGCCACTTTTCCATTTTTTCAGGCAGAAGATATAGCCAAACACCACAATGGTGTTTCCAATGAAGCCTAAGATGAACTCAAGGGTATACATGGTGGAGAGATAATACTTTTCTAGGACTCTGTTTGTCAGAAAGCAGTCACTGGTCTCATTCACAGCCTGGAAAGTTAAAAGGAAAAAAAACCACAAAAAATGAATAAAAGAACATTTCCATGTTTATATTGTTGCTGTAATTGGTGAATACATCCTCCAGTTTCATTCCAGCCTTCATGGGTTACTTGACCTGAAAGAATGTCTCTCACACATGGAATTTACACTTTCAGCCACTGACCAGAGTTATGGAGCAAGAAGAAAACTTGCCTGAGCAAAGATCTGTGTGAGGAGTCTGAAGTAAGAGCAGCACCTGAAGGCACCTGCCACGACGTGCCAGCTGCTGCTTGGCCAAAGCCACAGCAGTGCCAGCGGCCAGGAAAGTGAAGCCAGCCTGTCAGTGCCCTGTCAGTGCCCTTGCTGGAAGTCATCTGCCCCAGTTACCCAACGCCACCCCCATGAGCCCTCACTCATCACCGAAGCAGAAGTTCTCTGTCAAGGCTTATGAAGGATGAGCTCATTAGCAGCAGTGCAGACACACTGACAACACTGCTCGGAATTCATTAGGAAGCCAGGAGAGATGTGTTTATTAAATTAACAGAACCATTAGTCGTGTGCTTTGCACAGTTTTGCTGGTAACTGGGTACCAGAAAGGCACGGAGGATGGAGTGTCTCTCCTGTGCACTCTGCCAAAGCTTTCTAGGAGCTGCACCATGCATGAGCTTGCCTGATGACAAATTTTGCCTTCTTTCTTTCTAAAGGTTGGTTGAAAAAATCCTTTCAGGACAGGGAAGGAAAGAGAGCAGGATCTCAAGTGCTCACCCCGCTTCCTCCTCAGCAAAGCCCGCACTGCAGGGAGCTGCAGGACACAGCTTTCAGTGAAAGCTGAAAGTAAAGTGTCAGCAAACAATTAGAAAGCAGGGAAAACAAAATGCTAGAAACCGGGATATAAATCAAAACTGAACTCAAGCTAAGGTTAAGCATTTTCAAAGGTGTTCTGGTGTCCACAACCTGTCCACAGGTCTCTGCCCTCAAAGCACCATATTTTATTTTAAAGGTAGATCATGAGGCAGAACAAAGCACAGCATACCCAAAACTTAATAAAGTTACCTCCAGCAAGTCTCTACACTCCCTCTGTGCCCCGCAGGGGACAGAAATGCTACGGAGTGCTCACTCTGCTCAGTCACCTCGGCTGCAGCACCCACCGAGCCCTGGCTGCTCCGCTCTTGAGGAGAAACTCAACACCTGAGTGAGGTTTTAAATCTGGAAAGCACAGCACGGACATGAGCACTCCAAATGTCAATACTAATTTACAGGTTCCTGTATTGACAGATACATCGATTTAGGCAGTTGTTAGGAAAAGGCTGACGGATCAATGTTAAGGTAAGCAGGTAAGGCAGTTAAAGGTTCGCTCAGAGGAACAGAAGAGGCTCCCCAGCACCAGACCCTTACCATCGCCAGGGCTGTGGGTGCTGCCTCCCCGCCGGGCTCCAGGATCCAGGGGTGCAGCCCCGCTGCCGTCCCGCCGGGTGCGAGCAGGATTTAATCATTAATGAGTCAAGGCGGAGGCAGGAGCTGTGTGGCTGAGCAGCACAGGGGGCAGTGGGAGGGTGGGGCTGCTCGATGTGCGCCGAGGGAGCTGCAAAGAACACTTCCACCTCGCAGGGATCCGCTGCCCGGGGCGGATGGAGGCGTGCGAGGGAGAGGGCACTGCTCCCCACCCCACGCCCTGGGAGATGCCCGGGGGCTGCAGGAGGGCAGAGCTGGCGGCTCGTTCCTGCCCACACTCAGTCACCTTCAGCCCTGGAGCAGCCTCTCCTACTGCACCCAGAGACCGACACAGCAGCTGCCGCAGCTCGGCGACTTCCCACAGCTCGCAAACCGATTAAACAATACATTTAATTCTATTACAACACTGAAGAAAAGCACTTAGTTTTCATACAGCAACACATCACCACTCCAAAGCTCGCTGCTTCATTCAGCATTGCGAGATAGAAATGATTGGTAAAGATGAAAATACAATAAATACTGCTAGTGCAGAATGACCCAGCTCCATGGTGATTGATGCTCCTGAACTATCTCATTCCACCCCCACCACAGGCAGGGACACCTCCTACTAAACCAGGTTGCTCCAAGCCCCATCCAACCTAGCCCTGAACACCTCCAGGGATGGGGAAGCCACAGCTTCTCTACCCTTTTTTCCCCCTTCCCCTTTATTGTGATGTATTTCACTGTCAGCAAACATTAACCCTATTAAGAGATATAAAAAGCTGTTGTAGCTTTTCTATGCAGATAAGGCCAACAGATCAGCTCATATTTAAGCATTACAGAAGCTGATTTAAAATCCCAACACTGATTTAAAGCTGATTTAAAATTCCAATTTAAAAAGCCAACCCTGGCTTCTCATTTACCAGCTTTTAAATATATCGTCCATTCAGGCAACTGCTGTTGCACTGAAGGATAAAGTGGGGCTGAATAAATGGAGCGTTTCTTCCTTCTCACTGCAGTAACAGCTCAGAGAACTGGCGGGGGAGCAAGAAATGCTCCTTAATGTCCTTTCCGTAGGGTTACATTTGTGCCAGATTTACAGCTCTGTGGCTGTTGCATGGGCTCATTGTGTTTCTGAGCACAGGTTTCTAACCCTTGGTTATTCTGAGGCTCTCCCAGTCACATGAGCTGGCACCTCTAATTCCATTGCCTTCAGACAGCCCTATCCCTAAGGACCCGGTCTGGGGGTCTCAGCAGAGGTTGCCAGAGAGGTCTGTGCCAGTGCTCCCTGCCTGGTGCCATGGGCCGTGCCAGCAGCTCCGGGCACTGCTCCTGGCACAGCAGGCTGCAAGTGTGCTGTCCTGCTGGGAAGGGTTCAGCGGGGCTGAGCCAGCCTCAGCATGAGGAACCAGAACAGAACCCAACAGCTCAATGGGGGAACTGGTAACGGCAGCACTGGGGCCCCTTAACGGGCCCAACGGCCGGGCTGAGCACACCAGCAGGAGTTCCCTGCATTTCCCAACAGGGAACAACCCAACCACCAGCTCCAAAACACTGAAGACCAAAAGGACTGACAGGTTCTGTTTCTCGGGCGGTTGTTGGTTGATTTGTTTGTTTGTTTTTAAACCAGTGTAGTACTTTAAAAAGTTAAGGGCTCTTAAGCAATGGATACTGATGAAGCCCTGACTGCTGCAGGTGCTTTGGGAATGATTTATTTCCTCTTCCACTCACGAGTGTGAATTCATTCTCTTCATACACCTGCCCCTGCACCATGTTCTGTACAGGTGACAGGGGAGCTGGAGAGTCTGTGACCAGCCTGCCTGTGCTTGGGCATCCTTGGAGGGTTTGATCTCTTGAGAGTGGATCTGCTCCTCTGTGAGCTCTGTGTGGGGCTGTGACCTCACAGAGGATGGCAAGGCTGAGCTTAGTCCCTGACTGTCAAACACCAAATCCCACCTCAGCCTCTGCTGGGAGACAGAGGCTGGGAGACCAAAGCCTTCCCTTGGGGTGATTTGTCCTGTTTTCTGGTGTAGATAAATGAGTTGCTTACTGCAGCTCCAGCCTCTCCTGCCAGTGATGCCGATGGTGCAGTTTTCAGTCTCATTTTGTGCCACACCAGGCAGCTCCAGCCCCAAAAGTCTATTTTAGGAATCTAAAAAACACATACAGTCCAATCAATCATGAGTCCATAGTTAGGTGCTGATACTTAAAAGACATTTACCTCTGGTTCCAAGACAGTCCTATAAAAAACACAGAGCGGGAGGCTGGCAATTTTTGGCTGGCATTGTTGTTTAGAACATAAATTTTCCTTCTGCCTCACAGGCGGGCATTGAGTGCTCCCGTGTCCCTGATGCAGCCACTGCCTGAGCACAACAGAGGGAACAGCGTGGCCAGGGAGGGCACCCCAGGTCTGCTCCAGCTGGGCTGCACAGGCAGGTCCAGCAGCCCTGGAGGGAGGCAAAGCCAATTTACCCAAGGCAGTCTGGGAGACAGCAGTGCAGCCTGCTGAGGGATGCCTCGTGGGCATGTCTCCTCCAACACAAACATCTTCTCTAAACAGTCTCTCAAGCAAGGCTTTGTCTGCCATATATCTGGAAACCCCAACTGGGCCCATCCCATTAGCATTTACATCCCAGAAATGCCCACCCCAGGCAATATTCTTGTGGACATGACCCTAACACTGTATAGAAAGTCAGACCAAAGGTGTTACTTAGCAAACCCCCACAGCCAGACTTCCTCAGGAATACTAAGAGGCTGTTAATTGTTTTCAAGTGTGAGAGAAATAGAGCTCCAGTGGAGATTCCTGCTGCCAGCAGGCAGGAGCCCATTCCATGGATGAGCATGGGATGTGCTGGCAGTGCTGCAGAGAGACCCAAGAAATACCTTCCAAACACACTGGGAGTGAGCACACGAGCACGGCCAGAGGGTGTGCAAACGTGCAAAGGGAGACCTACTAACCCCTGCTGTTTCCCTCCTCAACAGCCCCACCCCAACGTCACCAATACTCACATTAACAGTAGCAGCAGAAATAAAACATCTCCCAGAGTTTGCCCTGGGCTGTCTGCAGCAGCCACCCTTTGGCTCCAGCACACCTGCTATTGCTTCCTGATAAATGGGACACTTGAGTGACAAAGCACATTGCATTGTAATCAAAGACTAGTTTAATTTTTATACTCAGCTTAAAAAAGATGAAAAGCACAGCAATCATCCCATACACATTCCAACTGAACAGGCTGCACACACTCAGGAAAAATAACCCAGAATCACTGAAGATTCAGTATCTTTTATGCAAAAGAAAAGCAGGATACACGAAGTACATGGCCATGGTTTGATTATCTTAAACCAACAGCCAACCCCCGTATTCATGCTTCAAAGTTTTAGGGTTTATATTTAGCACACAAAACATTTACAAACAGGTTATTTGTTCCACACAGAAAGCTGAATTCTTTTTCAAACCTATAAAGCTACTAAGCTAATTTTACTTTAAAAAGATCATATGTAAAAACTACCAAACAATTTTAAGGACAATTAGAACACATAGTACATGACCTATCAGATAAGGAGAGTATGGACCATGCAGCAGTGCTATTGTAAGGCTGGGACCTTCACAGCTTCCCTTTTCCTAAAGAAAATCCAGTGCTGGTTTGTTGCACTATTTCCTGCTAGTTCAAGGATTAAAGAAAGTGAGTATGAGCAAGACAGGTGCTTTTTAAAAAAAAATTTAACAATCCCCTTCAAACCCCAAAACACTTGCACAATTTTTCGGCCATCCCACTGGGTTTCCAAGTGCTTCCCTGGAGCCTTGCTGGGTAGGGACAGCAGCCCCAGCCCAGCCACTGCCTGCGATGGGTGGGTCCCACCAGCTGCCTGGCACCTGGTCCTGGTGCCCCCATTCATCTCATCACCCCTGGCAGCAGCAGGGCCTTGCTGGCACATCCCATGGGAAACAGGAGCTGTGAGGGACAGGGACAAAGCAGCCACCAAGTGCCTCCCATGTGGCCACAGTGAGCTGGCCCACTGGCACATGCCTGTGGTATGAAGGTGTTGTGATAGGAAGAAAGAAGCAGCAACAGAGACAAGACACCAAGTGCCAGAGGCTGCAGGGTCAGGAGGGGAAGCCCAGGGCAGTCCCGGCAGGTTTGAGGCTCAGACAGCACTGGAAGAATGCTCAGATCAGAATCAGACTGATTTCCTGTCAGAGATGGCAGAAACGCTCCGGTCCCAGCACTGCAGAGCATTGCAGAGCACCTTGGCCACGGCACACCCGGCCGAGAGCCGGCACAGCCCCGCGCCCTCGGCCACGCCTGGCAGACGTGGGGGCTCAGAGGTTCTCCTTCAACCACTGCACGTATCTGTTGCAGAGCCGGTGCCCCACGGCCAGCTCGTAGGGCCACAAGATGAACAGGAGGGCCCCGTGGAAGGCGTCCCGCGCGTGGTCGTGGGTGACACTCACGCCAGCGTTGCGGAGCCGCTGCGCGTACATGGCACCATCGTCCCGCAGGGGCACGTCGTCTCGCAGGTCAGGATGTAGGCGGGGGCAGCTTGGCGGCAGCCGCCATTCGCTATTGCCCAGCAGCGGGGCCGCCCGCGGGTCCAGGAAGCCGGGGTAGCGCCGTGCCAGCGCCGCGCTGCCCGGCGTGGGGGCCGCGTATGTGTGCCCTTCGCGCATCCCCGCGGGCAGCAGCCGGCTCCAGTTCACAAACTGCAGCAGGTGCCCTGCCTCGGCGGGGACGTGCCTGTTGGAGGCCATCGCCTCCCTCAGAGAGGGGTCTGACGTGAAATACTCGCTCCAGAACCTGACCATGAGCGACCTGGACAGCAGGGGCTTGTTGGCGTTGTCTCGGTAGGACGGCAGATCCAGGTCCAGGGCCTGCAGGGCAGGGTAGAGCAAAACTTGGGCTTTGAGCTTCGTTTTGACTTCAGGGTCCTCCAACAGCTGTAGAAGAAAACAGATTATTTCAAAGAGTCAGTGAAAGTGCTGGCTCTCCCACACTGACAAAAGATCTGAAGTAAGGAAATAAGACACTCATTTCACAACATGAGCAAAATAAAATCGATAAAACCAGGATAGAGTAAAGAAATTCTGAATCCACAGGTGGGTCACCTAAAACAATGTGCTGTGCTAAAAATTCACAAACATCAAATACAATTTCATTTTATATCTTATGTTGAAGGATAATGATATTTGGGAAATACTCTTTTGGAGGCTTTAATGCTTTCTGAAGTAGTAACCAATGTTTTTTCTATAACTGCAGAAATTTTCTGTTCTTATATCATGAAAATTTCACGTTTCTGAATCTCCTTTAATAATTTCCTACAATTTGGAGCTTATCCACTGGTTGGTTTTTAGCCCTGAGGTGTTACAACTCAAGCAACTGCAATTCTGTGCATTTTAGAGATGTGACAAATAAAATGTGATGAATTGAACACTAACATTTCTTATATGTCATACTTTTCCCCTCTTCACTAATAAATCTTCCATTTTCTCCCTCATCTTCTGCCTTCAGCATCCACAGCAAATTCACCAGTGTTCCCAGTGAGATCCATTACAATCCAAACAAGTTCTCAAGAGAGCAACAACATGATGTTGGCTTTTTTTTAATAATCTTGAGTGAGAAGTGCAAAAGGCACTGAACTGTGTGATCAGACACTGGAACACTTAGTGATGGTTTTTTGTTTGGTTGAGATTTTTTACCCTGCTATTTACATCTTTATGAGCCAAATTATTAAAATTCCCTTTTCAAACACCATACCTAGACCAGTCAATATGTGCTTAAGGTTAGCATCATGTATGCCCCAATTAGAGGGCAGAGAGCCTTATTTAGGGTATAAAGGTCTGGATGACACCAAAGCTCCTCTGCTGCCCTTGAGTGGCTCAGGCACATTGGCTCCTGTGGGCTGTGGGACGTCCTGTGTGCACAGACCACGAGAGCTGCACATGCTTTGAGCTGAGGTGCTTGTTAGGGGCCGTGAAATGACAGAAATAACTACTCTGAGCTTGCAGCCCAGGCTTTGGTCGTACCTGTTGTGCCACAGCCGCAGCCAGGTTGCCCCCAGCGCTGTCCCCTGCGACACAGACCCGAGCAGGGTCCACCCCGTACTGGGCCAGGACACTGCTCTGCAGGAAGAACTTGGTCGCTGAGTACACGTCTTCAAAGGGCACCGGGAAACGGTGCTCAGGGGCCAGCCTGTAGCTGTGGAGGCAGGAGGTGTGTCAGTCCCTGCTATTAACAAAGAGAAGGGCTCGCTGATGTCTGCCTGAGCTGGGCATGTTTGTTATGTCTGTGCCCAGAGAAGTGGGAACAGTCTATTCAGGACAGTCCAGTATTCCAGTACCCCCCATCTTCATAAAGCCAAAGTAGCCACCAACCACAATTCACCACTGCCACCCATGGCCTCGGTTCACAAGTGCTTATAGCCAGCAGGGAGACACATGACCAAAGACAGAGGTATTGCAAAATTATATTAATTGAAACAGATTAATTTATTCCAAACCCTCATCCCATCTGGAAGGAGACTCTCTCTTACTTGACTGACACCACGACAGCATCCAGCTCGTTTGAAGTTCGCCGTGAGATGTGATCGTAGGTTTTCATGCCTGAAATGAAACAAGTCACTGGAATACACCCCACTACTTGTGAGAACGGACACACACACAGCCTGATGCTCCTCTGAGCAGAAGCTTTCAGGTGACTTTCCCAAACCTCCACCTGCTTTTAACTCTTGACACACCAGTTCCCTGCCCCTCCCCTGTGGTAAGTCCCATAAAACAAAAGGCAGCGCTCGACATGGGCTGTTGAGATCTTCCACAGACCCTGGCACCAAGGGAAAAGCTCTTACCTGCGTCTCCCAGGCACCACCCCCCGCCGTGGAAGTAGACCATGGCCCTCCTCAGCCCGTCAGGTGCCCTCTTGGGCAGGTACAGGAGGACAGGGACATTGTTGAACTCGGTGTCCGTCACAGTGACGTTTTCATCGGATGTGACCACGACGGTCTCCATAGCTGTGATCAGCCTCATGCCCTCCATGTAGTGCATCAGCCCCAGCAGATCCAGCACCGCGGACTAAAGACAAGGGCAAACAGTGCTTTCAGTTCAGCCTCACTTACTCGCAGATTAAACCTCCATGAAGGCACTCGATGCTCTGTGCAAGCCCGTGAAGTTGCTGTGTAGGTCACGACAACAACAGGCCCGGGTGTGTCCATCTGATGGGAGCCTGGCACTGAAAGGAGCACTCACTCTGTGTCACTGCTGCCCAGCTGGGGCAGAGCCCAGCGCTGGCACCGGGGCTGCTGCTTTGTACCTGCACTCAGACTCGTGCTCAGTGTTTATGTGGGTCACCTCCACAGCACACTGACCAGCTCAGTGACCCCCAGCACAGGGATCGTGCCACAGAGAGCCACCAACAGCCACCCACAGCTCCTCTGCCTGCCACAGGCACCAGCAAGGTGTGGGAATGGCACTACTGGCACCAGCAAGGTGTGGGAATGGCACTACTGGCACCAGCAAGGTGTGGGAATGGTACTACTGGCACCAGCAAGGCGTGGGGGTGGCACAGGGATCACACTGCACAGAGCCACCCACGGCCACTGTGCCACTGTCAGAACCAGTAGCCTGGCTCCTCCACCACTGCCCCAGGGGACATGACACGACCCACTTTCCACCCCAGCGTCCTCCCTGCCTCATCACATCACAACAGAAACAGTTAAGTAACAAAGCCAAGTTCTTACACGGTATCTGAAGGTGGAAACAGATGAAACTCAGAGCAGGTTTGAGTTTAAAAAGAAATAAAATAGCCGAGCCTGGTGCAGACTGTTGGAATTTTGGCTTCCAAGAGATGCTTTACTCTCCTCAGGAAGAATGTGAAGCCCCCCCACTGTACCAGATCACCTGCTGACAGGTGTAAGCTCTAGCATTCAGACTTTGATGGTGTAAGTCAGACAGTCTGACCCTGCTTGGTTTGCTTGCTGTATTTTTTTTCCAAGAGCACAGAGCTCAGCCCTTACTTGCAGTGCCTGACAGCCATTGTCACCACATTTTACCAGTCACCTCTCTCTGAAGGCTTGGAGCAGGTGGTGCCAGGAGGAGCCCTGCCAATCCCAGTGAGTTGGAATTGGGACGGAGATGAGTGGGCAGTCCCTGGCACACCACAAAGGGAAACACAGGTCCTTGCCTTCAGCTCCACAAAAACAAACACGCCTGTGCCAGAACTGCAGTTTTAGCCACAACATTTACATAGTTTATGTAAATATTTCTCAACTGTTGCCTTTTCCCCCAGGATTAGTGTCTTGAAAAAACAAATATATCTGTCAAAGTGAGCCCTGCTGTGATTCCACTGAGCTTGTGAAACCCCCATGGTGAAAGGAGTTCCCTGAGCCCCAGCACTGAGGATTTTCAGCGCTGGCAGTTGTGTTTTCCACAACTGGACAATTTGCATTGTAGAAAACCACTGAGCTGCTGCCTGTGGTTTCCAGGCCATTATCCTATGGAAATGAAAGGAAATCAAGCTCTCATATGAAAATCCTCATTGTCCCAGTGTGAGATTACAGGGTGTCACAGGTTAACAGGAAAACCAACCACTTTGGGGTTTGGGATCCTCATGCATTTTCCACAGTCACTTCCTCCCTCTTCCATAAAGGAGCAGGGCAGAAAGAACAGAACTCCCAAATATATGGAGGAGGAGGAGGGGAGCCTGGCTGTGCCTGGGCAGGTGGAGCACCCTCACGACTTTCAGCAGCTCAGTTATCCCAAGGGGTGATGCTCTAGATGGGACACTCTCCAGAGAAGCTCCCCATCAGCCTGAAGGGACACAGGCAGTTTGTCAGTGGGGCTGGAAAAGGCTTGAGTCTGGGTTTCAGTGCTTCTGAGGAGTGGGGCCAAAGAGGGAGGGAGCTTTGGGAGGACATCACAGAACCACAGCAAAGACATTGAGTTGCACTTTATACTTTCTTCATGTTTCAACCGAGGGCATGGAGCACTTCCTAAAACACCTGAAGCATTTTCTGCTCAAGCACCAAAGCAAGTGGTTGGTGCATTGCTGGAGGCTGTCCCCCAGCTCGGCAGCACGGGGCCATGGACATGGACAGACAAAGGGAGACATTCCCAGCCTCCCTGCTGCAGTGGGACCGGCACAGAGGGGCGGGCTGGGCACACCCCGGCAGGGCTGCTGGGCTGGGGGCTCCCCAGAACCCACCACAGCACAGGGGAGGGAGATTTGCCACTTCGTGGTGCTCTTGACACATCCTTTTGTGAGCTCAGAGAGGACTGCTGCTCAGGAGTGCTCGAGGGCAGCAGTTTGCTCCCTGGGTTCAAACTCAAAGACTAAAGCAGGGTCCCCTCTGCAGACCTACCACGAGTGACCACGAGTCACTGCCCTGTGAGCACTGTGGGGAACGGGCTCAGGCTTCCCAGGCAGCTGGGACAGCAGCTCCAGAGACGCCAGCTCCGTGTGCCAGTGACAACACATGATCCACCAGCACACAGACAGCACTCCTGCACTGGCACTGCTGTGCCAAGGGCGACAGTCTGACCCAGCCAGTGGGCCTGGGGTGCACAGGTATTGAGCTCCCTGGGCACGGACCCCACGGACCCTCCTTGCAGGCCCCCTCCAGCAGGAGATTTGGGACAGGAAGCAGCAACACAGCACATCAACAGTGCAGACTACAGATTCTTTCCCACCCCTTTAAATCTCCCACCACCTCACCCCCTCAAAAAAAAAAAAAAAAAAAAAAAAAGAGAGAGGGCAGCAAAGAGTCCATGATACACACCAGAAAAACCCTCATCCCTCACCCCTGCTGGACAACCCTGATAAATCTCCCCTGCTGACAAGGGCTGCCTCACAGCTCTGGACCTCAGCAGTGGCTTTTAGGTACACTCCAGAGTGATGTTTAGGAGACATCCCAAAAAGCTGTGTACCCTTGTCTCCACTAGAAAATCATAAATGCAGTGTCTCTCAAGGACTTCTGAGAATCACACCCACTATATTGCAACTGGAGTGACAGAGAAGGCAAAACCAAACTAGTGCCCTTTGGAGCCAACAGCCCGGGTGTTGGTGGCTGCAGCAGCCCAGCCTTCCAGCAGCATCCCCCCAGCAAACCCAGTAGCTTCTCTCCTGGCTCCTTAGACCCCTCTTTTAACAGATTGTATTGTGCAAAAAGAAAAGCAGCCTCACAACATTTGTAGCCACCCAGGAAGATGTTTGCAACATTCAGCCCTCTTCCTCCCCCCAAACCTTCATCTTTGACCTTGTTTTTAGGTTTCAGTCACGCTGCTGCAGCCACATTGTACAGCAAGGACAGCCTGGGTTCAAACCAGCTCCCAGTTACTGCACCTCAGAGGTGGGAGCTCCAGCACCATTATTTACACACGATGTGCAGCTTCACAGACCACTTCCACGTGCTGGAAGGGTCTGTAACGTGCCTGAAGTGAAGCAGAAACCAGGGATGTCATACATGTTAAAATAGCACAGAGGCACACACAGACCATGCTGGCAGTAAATACTGGCCTAGAACTGCAGCCAGGGTGTAACACCAGCACCTGTCCAGGCTGTGACACACAGCTCTGCACTCAGGAGCTAGAGACCATTTTTACATAGGCAAGATCACAGTGGTATTAAAAGAAATTTTATTTTTATGTACATATGGCTTAATCTCTCCATGCTCTAGCACTATCTCCCCTATAATTACTTTGGTGTAGTTTTTAGGCTCATTCTGTCAGTAGATTTCCAAGAAACCACAAAAATCAATAGTATTTAGGAGCAGCTCTAGTTTTCCCTGCCCTGGCACCCCACACTGCTGAGGGATCTCAGTACACAGGGGCTGAGAAGCAGAATGATTCGAGCAGTAGTGCTTCAGCTGCACAGGACTGTGAAGCAAAAGAAACTCATCTGTGCTTGTCAGGCTGTGGTCACACCCAACATCATATTCCAGTTACTCCAAATGGCCTTTTCTCAAGATTGCACAATTAAATCTTTTCTATTCTTAGATCTATCATAGTTGCAGTGAGTTTAATGCTGAGTTTCATCTAATACAGTCCTTCACTGAGTGTACTACCACAGACATTCAACACATGCAGTATGGCACCTATGCATTGCCGTGTCTCCACGAGAGCCCCCCCTGCTCCCCAGCCCTCCCCACTCACCAGGTGCCCCACGGCCCTGAAGGGGGCACAGAGGACCATCACTCTCCAGGGCTGTGCCAGCTCCGCGGGCACGGGGGTGTAGATGTAGTAGGCGAGCAGGGCTGGCAGGAGGCAGAGGCAGAGCAGCTTGGCGCCCATGGCTGCGGGCACGGCTCGGGCTGGGGAGAGCGGCTCTCACCGACTGCGAGCGGCCACAAGGCAGCGCAGGGCAAAGTTAATCCCGTGTTTTGTTTGAGTCCCGGCCAGGGGGTGATTTCTCGTCGGATCACACGGGGCAGAGGTTACTCCCCTTTGTGGCTCCCAAGAAAACATGTTTCCCCAGCCAGGCGTGCAGCCCTGGGAGTGACCGAGCTGGCGTGCCCAGCCCGGATTAACCAGCGAGGCTGCACACCCAGCACCCGTCCCTGCCCTTGGCGGCAGCGGCCAGCCCCAGGGCTCTGCAGAGAAACGAGGGGCAGGATGTGGCTGTGAGCTGCACACGGTGACACCAGACGTAAACACATGGCTTGGACATTCAGGAGCCACTCTGGAGGGCGGCAGCTCAACCAGAGCCCCGGGCACAGCTATGCCCCTGGGGCAGCGGCTCGACAAGAGCCCAGCTCCCAGGGATGCCTGGTGGGATCAGCCCATGGCAGCACCTGACCCACTCCCTCAGGCAGGAGCCGGCACCTCCTGCCCTGGCAAAGGCACCTTTGGCTCACACAACACACCAGCCCCTTGTGCAATAGTAGGGTTGGCAGATAAAACAGTCTTTTACAAGGCAGGGCTTCTGGCTAATATTTGACAGATCAGATTTAATTGCCACTGTTCTCAGCATTAAGAGATTTCTATGCATCTCCCAGAGGCCGCCACTTCTGCAGAGGGTGGATGGGGAGGAGTCAATTCAAACAGGTAATAATTTCACCAAGGAAACACCACAACTGCAGGCACACACACGAGGGGAGTGAACAGAACAGCTGCAGCCCCAGGAACCCTGCTTTAGAGATAATTGAGGGGTTTTACCTTTTCAGTTTAAAATTTGAGTTATTTCTTTTGCTGAAGTTCTACCAACAGTGAAGCACCACATCCCCGTGCCCTCACACTGAGCAGCCCGTGGGGCTGGAGCATCCACTGGGGGAGCAGAGCACAAAACATCACAGAAGGCTTCAAGATGAACCATGTGCCACCAGCCCAAACACAGAGGAGAAGCAGACCTTAGTCAAACTTTCAGACATTTGCTTTAAGCTCTGGGTACCTCCAAACTATTCAAGTGTTTTTAAACTCCATCTGTGCTCTCCTCCTCAGTCAGGACAAGACACCCTGGGCTCCCTCCTCAGTCCTTCTGCAGCACAGCAGCTGGTTAAACACAATATTCTTGACCCACTCCAGCAAAACCAAGAGAACACGGCTCTGTGGTCATTTCACCTGCCCTGGAGGCCACACCAGGTGCTGAGAAAAGGGACAGGTGAGCCCAGCCTGGCACAGTGCCTGGGTTCCAGCAGCAGACTCTTGTGTACACGCAGGGCTGGACACAGACCAGCAAACCCATCTCCTTTTTTGCACAGCTCAGACCTTTTCTCGTGGGCTCTGAGGTAAAACACAGATAAAGGAACCAGATTTCAGGTCACACAGGAAGAGAAGGCAGAACTTGGTGATGGGGAATGGAGGACAAAGCCCTCTCCTGCCCTGCCCCTCACCAGCAGTGGCAGGAGCTCCCAGGACAGCTGCTCTGTGTGACCACTGCTCTGGCATGGGAAAACAGGACAGGGGAAGACATGGCCAGACCTGGAACCACCACAAAACTGGTGCTTTATTTTGTTGCACTTAAGGAAGGTTCCCCCTCTCCTTCCATGCTGGTCTCAAGCTAGAAGCACAGCTGTGCAGTGGCAGCCTGGGCTCTGCTCTCTCCCTGCCCCGAGGTCACCTTCAGCTTAGGCAGGAGCTCACAGTGCATAGCCTTCAGAGACCAACATCTCATCTGCTGGCAGATCCAGCCCTCTGCCCTCCAGTGAACTGCCCAGCAGCCTCCCCTAACCCACAGCACTCCCAGAGAAAGGGAATCATAAACTAAACTCACCATTTACCCAAGGGAACCCTGAAGCATCACATGTAATATGGGAATGCCCTGATGCCAATTTTATTAGATCTCTTTCAGTCAAAGGGGCCAGCTGGGACAGCACAAGACCCCTCTTGGACAAGGGATGGGGTGTCAAATGAAACACATGATCATTAAACTCCAGCTCAGTGCCATGCAGTGATCACCCTCAGTGCCACACCCAGCACCAGCCTCCACACTGCCAGCGCTCTGCAGAGCCAGCACCAGCACCCACCACTGCTGGTTTGCTGCATATCATCTACTCTCCCACTGCTCAGAACTCCCTAAAGCAAACAAACACTTGGTTTAGTCTTTTCCCTCTTTATTTAATTTCGTTAAATAAGGTTGAACAGGGCTTGGAGCAACCTGGTCTAGCAGTTGTCCCTGCCCATAGCAGGGGGTTGGAATGAAATAATCTCTACGATCCCCTCCAGCCCAAACCATTCTATGATTATATGATGATGAAACCCCATTTTTCTGCTCTTCCTCCTCACAGCATACCAAGAGCCATGCAGCATGCCCTCCTTGCCAACTTCTGCATTTCCATCTATTCCAAGCTACTGGCATTTCAGAAAAAAATTAATGCAAAGTTAAGCAGACTAAAGCCAAGTTTAAAACTGCAATGGGAAGAAGAGCAGCCAGCACGTCACCCTGCCCAGAGCCAGCACCCCCTGAGCCCTGTGCTCCATGTCAGGACAGTCAGGGCTGGGATTGCCTGTCACCACATAGTGCTCAGCCATGGAGACACTGGCAGGGACTTGCTCAAGTGCTGACCTGCCACCTGAATAAGTCAACTGGGCTAAAAATATCAGCTTGAGTTTTCAAGGTGTGGTTTGGAAAGGAGAAATATGTGAGCTTATAACCTTACATCTTGGTTGTGACACTAATCAGGGTTTATAACTTACATCTGTTTGTATCAACAATCCCTCTGCAGCTCTCTTACACCTCTATTGCAGTTCCACTTGCTGTAATATCACAGCATTCCCAGCCCTTGCCTTGTCTGTCACAGAATCGTTCAGGTAGGAAAAGCCCCCAGACCATCCAGTCCAACCCTTCCCCAGCACTGCCAAGGCCACCACTGACCCACCTGCCCAGGTGCCACAGCCACACATCTGTTAAATCCCCCCGGGGATGGGGGTTCCAGCACTGCTCTGGGCAGCTGTGCCAGGGCTGGGCAACCCTTCCAGGCAACAATTATTTCCCAATACCCAGCCTAAACCTGCCCTGAGTTTAGGTGCCCTGCATTGCCCCGTGAGCTGGGCACGTCCCTGGTGTGGCAGTGGCCGGACAGAGGGATGCTCCTGGCAATGACAGCACCCCAGGACTGCCCCTGGCAATGACAGCACCCCAGGACTGCCCCTGGCAATGACAGCACCCCAGGACTGCCCCTGGCAGTGACAGCACCCCAGAACTGCCCCTGGCAGTGACAGCACCCCAGGACTGCCCCTGGCAGTGACAGCACCCTCGGGGTGCTCCTGGCAGTGACAGCACCTCGGGGTGCTCCTGGCAGTGACAGCACCCTCGGGGTGCTCCTGGCAGTGACAGCACCCCAGGACTGCTCCTGGCAGTGACAGCACCCCAGGACTGCCCCTGGCAGTGACAGCACCCCAGGACTGCTCCTGGCAGTGACAGCACCCTCGGGGTGCTCCTGGCAGTGACAGCACCCCCGGGCTGCCCCTGGCAGTGACAGCACCCCCGGGCTGCCAGGGTGGCCTCACTGCAGTAGGCACGATTTCATTCCAATACAGTATTTTGGGAATGAAGGGAGAAGCCACAGGGAGGCAGTGCAGCCCTGCAGACGGTTTCCATTCCACCAAACCAGGGTACCCGAGGGCCCTCAAAACCCCATGAGGAACAGGAACACCAGTTCTGTCCGTCCTTCCCTCCAGGGAGGACAGGGACAGGCTGTGACTGTCACCTCAAGAACAGAGGAAAGGCCACAGCACAGCACTGCTGCCCCTGAATGTTGTCCACATTTGCCTTTGGTCAGTCAAGTTACAACCTTGTAGTAAAAAGCAAAAATTACTTATTCTGCCCTTTAAAGCCTCTGATGAACACCCACCAACTGGTCAGTACAGTCAGACCAGCTGAGAACACCCCTTGAACCTTGAAACAGCTTTTGGGTTGATATTCAGAAGCCAGTACTACATTTCATATCACTTCACTAAGTTTCAGGTATTTCTGTTTTCTTTCTTCATTTATTACTGTGTGTACTTTTTAATGGCATTTACAGGACTTGGAACTGGCCTGCTTTTACAAAACGAAATCCATAAGACATTTTATACAAGAGAATTTGGATACTGCTTTTCCATCTGTTGCTTATTACCAAATTGCAAGTTGTATAAATGGAAACAAATGTCTTATTTGACAATACATTCATACCCTGAACGGAGAAAAGCAATTCTCTGAAGCTTAAATAAGCTGAAGTCTAGCACATGGAATATTTCTGAACACGTGACAAAGCAGCAGCTCCAGAAACAAGATGGTTTCATGAAGGCATTAAAGTAGCCAATAAAACATCTCCCAACTCAGTCTGAATAGCACATTATCATCAGGATAAGAGGAGATTTGAAATAAGTCAGTGTTCTGCCTTGATGCTGTCAAAACATACGACTTTCTACTGTTTGGCAGGAAGGCAGCAACAGTTTTGCTCTTTACTGTTCCTCTCCCAAGTGAAGCAGCAGGCTCAGAGGAGCAGAGCTGCCTGCTGGGTGCACGACTGCACCAGAGCCTCTCGCCCTGAACCAACCCAGCGACTGCTCTGGAGGCAGATCAGGACAGAAACCCCCTCACTGAGCACACAGAGAACCAGGATCTACCCACACTCCCAACCACCTCCACTGATTCCTGTCCTACCTTAAGTTTCAGAGGTCAAAATAATTTAAGAAACCCAGACTTATAGCGAGAATTCCATCCAGCTCACACCTCTCATTCCCAGCTTCTCAATGTTCACGCAGTTCTAGTTCTCACACAGTTTCCCATTTTTACAACAATAAGCACAATTCCTGAATTCAGGATCCAGCAGCAGATTGCTGGAGTTAGATTTACCGTCCCAGGGGAACAGAG